GAGAGAGAGAGAGAGAGCTATGTACACCTAGCCTGTGATATTCTGTGTTGTTACCCTGGTTATCGAAGGCATTGGTGACTTGTTTACTTGCCGGAAACATGTGATAGTGAGAGAATCGTATTGATACATAGATTGTGGTATTATGGGAATGTAGCAGCACACACACACACACCTGGTAGTGATAGTGAGTTTATATAAGAGAAACCCCTCAACGTTCGCTCTAGTTTATACCTGACCTGATCCCACCTCCTCCCTCCTACCCGTAATAACGATACCATATAATAGGGTCATAGAAAGGTGTGATGTAAAAGGCTCCCAGGTAAAGGAGGCGGCGTTAGGTAATGGTTGTTTTTATGGGCGTAAGTTAGCTTGAAATGCCATGATTTTTTTTCCACTGTTATTTGATGGAGGGATTTTATTTTCAGTGGGATTTTGTTTAGTGAGATCTTTTATGCAGTGAGTGGGTGAGGCAGGTGGGTAGATGAGTGAGGTGGGCGGGTACGTGGGTAAGTGAATTGATGGGTGGATGAATGAATGGGTGGGTGTTGGTGTGGTCAAAAGTTTGGGTACAACAGTAATGGCCTACATGGTGCTACACACCACACCTACAGTACATTGGCGTCTGACCCACATCCTCTCCCTGCACCTCCTCCTCCTCCACAGTCGCTGCTCCTATTGACACACAGCGCCGTAATAGCTCTTATGAAGAAGTGTGTCACGTTGGAGGAGTGCAGACGGGTGTGCTCCGGGGGACAAGGTTTCAGAATTCCGACTTTATTGCCCAAGTCATTTGTGTTGGACGCCTCAACGCTCGTTTCGTGGTTGACTGAGGGGAATGTAAACAAAACCTTAATTGGGACCACAGTATAGACAATTAACCCTCAGGTAGGCGCTGGACCACATGTCATACCTGCATGGTGGTGATAGTTTAAATGGTCCCCAGTCCTAAGGGGTCCCAGTCCTTATAGTTAAGTTTGGTTTGGTTGAGGCCTAATAGGACTTGAATTCATTTGAGCAGAAATCAGGCATATCAGTTCGAGGTCGTGTAATGAGTTCCTATGCACAGTCCTGAACGTTGGTCTGTGTATCAGACTCTTTTAAGACATCATACTCGGATTCACAAACGTTCACACATTAAATTTTATCACCAAACTGGGAAGAGACTCTGGGTGTTGTGCGGCTTTTTTTATCGTTATCAGCATTAAGCGTAGTGTATTATAACAAGCTGTGTCACACCTCCAGTTTGGGTATTATTTTAGGCAGATAACACCCAGCAATATCTGGCAAACCTAATGTAATCTAATCTAACCTAAATTAAAGTAATCCAAAGTAACATTATTATTACATCTTCGCCCCCTAGGCCCCGATGTGGGTCAGTGACCTGTGCCCAAGTGGGCTAATCCCCGTAAAAAAAAAAAGAGGATAACGTTCAGATATCATAACGTTAACCACTTAGAATATTTTAACCTTTGAAAATCCAGATTTAGGTCAGTGTACGATGGTATTTAAGGCCGAGAGTGGGTCCTGTTTTATGAGTCAAGGTGGACTTGTTAGCGTCACCTGTAGTTCCGGGCAGTGGTGCACAGGTGGACGTGTCCAGTTTGTACACACCTGGAAAAGACAAGATGTTCAAATATCAGGTGTGTGTAGTGTGGTGCATTGCTGCACACGTGGCCATTTGTTTATACCGGAAAGACGAGGAAGTAGCTGTTACTTGCCCAGCGGGAACCCTTAGGCGTGAAACATTTACGAGTTAACCCAAGGCGACACCCACGTCACCGAGAAGCAAGTGCGTGTGCGTGCGTGCGTCACCACTACCCACTGTCGCTCACCTACAACTGACGGCACAATGAAAAATATTAAAAAACAAAACTATATCCAACTATAATAAATAAAATAAGAATTATATGAACTTATGTTATCTCATAAGGATGGAAAGACAAGTAGGGAAAAACTGATAGAAAAATTAATGAATAAATGGAAGTGTAATGAGACAAAATCTCACATGAAGAGGTAAGTTAGGAGTTTATAGTAGTAGAGTATTATAGCGAGAGGAAATGGTAGCGTGTCTCGAGGGTGTGATGTCAACACTGTATATTAACACAGGCACAGTACAAGTGTAGTATATAAAACACCAATGCGTGTTACAGCTTTATTTTACTAGTTCAATAGGGGGGATTAATAGGGGGGGTTCGTACACAATTTATGATAGACTATGGTATTCTCGTATAACCTAACCTCACAGCTAGAATGGGCACTTCACTAAGTCGATCGTTGGGGAGGTTCGGGATCACTGCACTTCTACAGTCTACACAGCCAGCACTTACTGTTACACGTGGAGTTGACAGCACTTTGTCGATGGACCCGGGCTGAGACTTCGCCACACTTAATGGCGGTCTTCTTTCGAGCGGGACTCGGGGACCTGGTAGCTGGCCCTTCCTGGTTACAGACACTCTCTCTCGTGAGAGGAGCTCCAGCCCCTATATATTAGTCGAGCCGGGGGGGTGACCTCTCCTACTGAACTGGGTGTGTCTTGACCGGGTTGTCGGGTCAACAGGAGTGCTGGCTAATTAGCGGGTCCTTGAATTACTCAGGTCATGACGCCGGGTAGAGCTGATCGAGTGGTGGTGAGAATTCTGGTTCCCTAGTGTCAGGTCTGGGCGGCTGTGTGCAGGTGCCGTCCTGCCCAGGTGTCTTGGTTAGGTGCGGTTTGTAGGTCACCCGGCTAACTCACGTCATTAGCGGACGAAGTCAAGTCCCTAGGGTCGACCTGAGGTGTGTCAATCCGGGATGTGATGGTGCCACGAGGTCTGTAGTGCTTGCTGTTACATGTGACATAATTCCAGGCTGTAAGCTTTGGTCTGACAAACAATCATTACACCTCCCGCCAAGACCAAACCTTACAGCCCAGAATTATGTCACATATAACAGCAAGTACACCACAGACCTCGTGGTACCACCGCATTCCAGGTTGACACACCTCAGGTCGACCCTAGGGACTTGACCTGGCCCACTAATGACGTGAGCCGGTGACCTACAACCGCACCTAGCCAAGACACCTGGCCAGGACCACACCTGCGCACAATTATCCAGATCAAACCAGTTTAGTGTTAATTGGTAGAGGTCAGAAGCCGGCTGGGCCGACCCCATATAAAGGCCCTGCAGTCCCGTCCACGAGCATCACCTTTCGGGATTCCATTACGATTCTCATTCTGGTTGCTGTCATCTCTCTCCCGTTCGGGTCGCCACTCGGTTCACTAAGCAGAGTCACGCACGTCCCCTCCCCAGGTCGGGAGGGAGACCTCCCGACTAGACCACGGCATCGTCAGCTAAGCAGACTCTCCCTGTGATGGAGGCAGCCCAGCCAAGCATTCACTGGGCCTACGTCAGGGTACACGTGAGTCTTGTCAGAACGTCCTAGGGTGAGTTACCTACTGTGGGAAGTGTATTCATTCAGGTGTGTCCGAGAGTCAGTGTCAAGTAACGTAAAGCATGATGTGTTAGTACCCCGATATAATAGTGATATTAATGTGTCCATGTCATTGAGTGAATTAATAAATAGTTGTATCAAGAGGTGTTTAACAAGTTGTCCCTTTAAGAAGTGATATATGTGTATTGACATACGAGATAAGATAAGCGTAGTGACGCTGTGCAAATAACATCCAGGCCACGCTACCAAGTTTCCTATCTTTACATGCCTACTCTCTATACTTCCTACTTATGTATGTAATTCTCTTCTTGTGAGTTTTGTCTCATTACAGAAGAATAATTTATATATACGTAATTAGTATAGTAGTTAAAACATATAGAAATAACTCTAAAACAGGAAAAAAAACTAAATGTATAAATTAAATTAAAACTTGTAAAATACCGCCAAATATCACATAAATAAAGATAGAAATAAAGTAAAATAAACTGATTCTGAACTACATTTGTATAGCGGTCTCGTGGGCTTGATTAATTAAGTTCAGTAATCCGGTTTGTGTCCAACAGCCGCCTCCTACTTCCCTTATTATTATCAGCTTTATCTGGGCTACTCCTCCTGAGGGGTGTCGACCTTGGCCAAATGTAAACAACAGAATATATGGAAGGAAATGTTCGTCGCGTTGAATCAGCCAAATACACGTTTTTTTATTACCTATCCACATAACCCACCTAACCTAACCCCACCCCACCTAACTCACCCCACCTAACCCCACCCCACCTAACCCCACCCCACCTAACCCCACCCCACCTAACCCCACCCCACCTAGCCCCACCCCACCTAGCCCCACCCCACCCCACCTAACCCCACCCCACCTAACCCCACCCCAACCCACCTAGCCCCACCCCACCTAGCCCCACCCCACCCAGCCCCACCCCACCCAGCCCCACCCCACCCAGCCCCACCCCACCCCACCTTAGCCCCACCCCACCTAACTCACCCCACCTCACCCTGCTCCACCCCACCTAGCCCCACCCTCACCTGGCCCCACCCACCTAGCCCCACCCCACCTAACCCCACCCCACCAACCCCACCCCACCCAACTCCACCCCACCCACCCACCCACCTAGCCCCACCCCACCTAACCCCACCCCCACCTAGCCCCACCCCACCTAACCCCACCCCACCCAGCCCCACCCCACCTAACCTCCACCCCACCCCACCCAACCCCACCCCACCCACCTAACCCCACCCCACCCCACCTAACCTAACTCCCACTCTAACCTAACCCCACCCCACCTAGCCCCACCCCACCCCACCTAACCCCACCCCACCCAGCCCCACCCCACCCAACCCCACCCCACCCAGCCCCACCCCACCTAGCCCCACCCCACCTAACCCCACCCCCACCTAACCCCACCCCACCTAGCCCCACCTCCACCTAGCCCCACCCCACCTAACCCCACCCCACCTAGCCCCACCACCTAGCCCCACCCCACCCAACCTCACCCCACCTAACCTAACCTAACCTACCATGGTGTACCAGATAAGCATAGGTTGATGTCTGCTCTTTTAGAGTGCACACTGGATCATGTGTACGCCACAGTCCATCACAGTGTCCAAAATATATTACGTAAGTCTGTAACAGGAAGTAACGTGTATACTAACACACACACAACACAGTTAGTTAGTTAGTGAGTGAGTGAGTTAGTTATAGTTAGTTAGTTCGTGAGTGAGTGAATTAGTGAGTGAAAGTGTTGGTTGATGAAGTTAATTAGTGAGGAGTGAGTGAGTGTGAGTTAGTTAGTTCGTGAGTGAGTGAATTAGTGAGTTAGTTAGTTCGTTAGTTAGTTAGTAAGTGAATGAGTTAGTGAATGAGTGAGTGATTGAGTGAATTAGTGAGTGAATTAGTGAGTGAGTTAGTTAGTTAAAATAATAATTTACATGTTGTTAGGAATGAAATAACACAATTCTCATTATTCCAGCAGCTTGACTCGGGTATGTCATCATGCCCGGGTGGGAGGGTCGGATTCAAGTACCGACGGCGATGACCTCGATGAACCCGGCCTCGACTACCTAGACAGCAGACCGGGTATTACTCTGCACCTTCAGGCATCGTCTTGAGGGCGAAGCTGTCATCATCAACGGCAGAAGTAACCTGCAACGTCAACCTAAAACTAAGAAGTTGCAGCATTTTCTACAGGATGTTTACATGTCTACTGCATCACCACACGTTGAGGAGCCTCTTATATAGTCGAGTCTCCTGCGTTAGTTACCTCTGATATTTAATTTACTGGTATGGTGGAAAGTTGAAAGATAAAGAAAGTAGGTTAGTTGATGTATAGGTTGAAATAGACACAACGTAGATATAGATAGATAAATATAGACAGGAATAGACAGATACAGGAAGATAGAAATATAGAAATATAGAAATTGACAAAAATATTAACGGAAGTAAAAAAATAGACAGACGTATAAACATGCATAGATGAATAAAAACAACTAGATATATAGAAACATAGACTGGTAGATAAATAGATTGATGACAAAATAGGAAAGTAAAACACTTAACTTTAGTGGGAATCGTATATTAAATCCAAACTCTAAAGAAATTCACAATATGGAGACTGGACGCTATTGACCAAGATGTCACGTGGGTGCTGGGGGAGGACGAATCAATGGACCTGGTTGGTGTAAAGAAGATACCATGAGTGAAGTGAAGGAGGTACAGGAGGACTAGGCAGACAGGTGTTAAGGATCCCTAGGGTGAAGGAGGAGGACAGACAGGTGTTAAAGATCCCTAGGGTGAAGGAGGAGGACTAGGTCAGACAGGTGTTAAAGATCCTAGGGTGAAGGAGGAGGACTAGGCCTCAGACAGGTGTTAAAGGATCCCTAGGGTGAAGGAGGAGGACTAGGCCAGACAGGTGTTAAAAGATCCCTAGGGTGAAGGAGGAGGACTAGGCCACACAGGTGTTAAAGATCCCTAGGGTGAAGGAGAGGACTAGGCCACACAGGTGTTAAAGATCCCTAGGGTGAAGGAGGAGGACTAGGCCACACAGGTGTTAAAGATCTCTGGACAAGGTGTGTGAAAAAGAGGTGCGTAGGAGTAGGGACCCCTGGCCCAAGTAGATGTGAAATATCCTTGAGTTGTGTGTTGAGAGAGAAGTGTGTGTGTCGGTTAAGTGAAGGACATTTATATTATGGCACGTCCACTGGCTAGCGGGCGACGTGTCACAGTATAAGTATATTTTATCTTGTTTAAGAGTGTACGAGGATCTGGCGACACTGTATATGGTTTTATGCAGGAGTTGGGGACCTCAACTCCACCTTGCTTTTGTGGCAAACAGTGGCAATAAGATGATGGACTCTAACCCGTGTAGAGAGTATTGGTGTTATGGAATAAAAGGATTAAGATCACGGAAGATCATTTTACAGGAGACTTGTTAACTCAGGTGTTGTATAAGGAACATCAGGATTATTACTCAAAACCTGTGTGATGTGTCTAGTTTAACTTGCACAGACATTCATAACAAAAAACAAAAATTTACGTTCTTATACCAGAGATGTTGTATCCGCACGGCAAAGAAAATGTCAGGAATTTTAATACTTTATGCGGTTGGGAGACGTGTGGCTGGGTGGGCGAACAGGTCAGGTTGCCAGGTATGTGGTGGACACAGTGATAGGGGAGGCTATGATGGTATACCTGATATTATTCACATCATAACATAGTACACACGCTTTACTTACACAAATACACATCTCACATCCAGACACACACATCCAGACACAAGCTCACATCCAGACACAATCTCACATCCAGACACAAATGTAAACACTTCTCTCTCTCTCCATCAATTTACTGCTATCCTTCATCTTAGATCTTATTATATCCTCAACCTCGCCATTATCGTTTATCTATCCTCAGTGGTTCCACATTTATAAATCATCTATCCTGCTATCATTGATCTATCCTCCAAGGTCCATCTACCCATCTATCCTTTATCTGTTCTTCATTCAGTTTCTTGTCTAATATGAGATATTAACGTAAGTAGGTAGAGTATGATTGGAGGTGGCTGGAGGAGGAGGGGCAGGAGGTGATGGTGAGGTGGGAGGAGGTACTGGTGGTATAGGAGAGGTTTTGAGGTTAGAGTACTGGTGGTATAGGAGAGGTTTGGGAGGTTAGGAGGTACTGGTGGTATAGAGAGGTTTTGGAGGTAAGGTGGTTGTGTAGGTAGGTGTGTTGGGGCCAGTAACCAAAAAACACCGTGATAAGATAAACACTCAGTACTTCAACTCTTGGCGTAATCTGTGCCGTATCTCCACCACTCCTATATATATACGTATCAGTAAAACGTATCTACAGAAGTTTCCAGATTTAACGCTTTTGAACACCATCTTTATTCCTTTGGAAAACCTAGATAAACCGATTCTATCTTTACATCATATTGGGATAGTTTGAACTGGTAATGGTGGAAAATGTTAGTTAGTTAGTTAGTCTCCGCCAACTAACGCAGGTAAAATAGCCCAGGTGTGGTGATATTCTGAGAACTTGGTCTTTTGAACACCTGTGGAGAAGACAAGTGTGAGTGAATTATGAAGGAGGTTTTTACTTTTTACTTTATGTTCCTAGTGAACTTTTGAGTTTATGGGATGTTATGAATGTGTTATATAATAGTAGTGATGATGATGATTTATGGTGGTGATGATGATGATGATGATGAGTAATAAAATAAATAATAAAAACAATAAAAATATAGACAAGTGACAAGGAAGGACTGGGGTTGTTATGTATGATAGTTGACGTTAGCGGAACTAGGTAGCTGACAGAGTGGAGATAGATGGGAGAAGGACGAACCATTCTGATTGATGGCAGGTTAACGCCCCATCGTCACACCTGGCCTCCTACAACCCCAAGACTTGCATCACAGTCAATCTCATGAGGCAGTTGAGATTGACGGATGGGCGTGTGGTGCTGGTGGTGGTTGTCAGAGTTCAAGTGTGTGTGTGTGTTGGCCTCGTTAGTCGAAGTGACAGGTGTGTGCATGTGATTGGCAGGTTCGATATGTGACTTCCACCCCACTTCACTCTACTCTCTGGCCACTCAAACTTCTCAGAGTTAGACCCTTGTGTTTATAGTATCCAGGTGAATAATATAATCGTTATTCATGTATTATTATTATTATTATTGGTTTTAATTGAATTGTTGTTTATTTATGAACTGATGAAATAACTGTTTATTAGTGTCCAATATTGAAGAAACGTTATCTTTATGGGGGAAATTAAACTTATAGGTAAAGAATAAGTGCCGTACACACACACACACACACACACACACACACACACACTACAGAATGGTTGGATCCTTCACTCTCATTTATCCGAGATTTAATGGGTTCCTATCTCAGGGACTCTATTAATGAATCTGTAGTAAGTTAGATTAGATGGGGCCAGTTTGACCTATAATCCTACGACTGTCTGTGTATGAGACAAAACCCTCCCTACAGTCTATTACCAGTTTGTTAACTCTAACCTAACCAATTTGTTTATCTTTTTATTTTAGATATTTCGATATAAATTTAATGATGGAATTGCACGATACGGAAAATACATTGATGTCTTTACGTCTATCAAGGATCCAGGAAAAATGTCACAGAACCTAACCTAGCCAGACCGACCAACCTAATCTAATCTAATCTAATCTAATGTAACCCTAACCTGACCTGACGGTTCTAACCTAACCTAATAACATAACCCAACATAACCCAACCTAACCTAATTTCTGTGATGTTTAAACCCGTTCAGAACGATGCAGTGTCCTGAGTACTTAACTTTAACCTCTTGAGTACAATAATTTGATCTTGGAGTACAGTGGCTTAGTCTCTTGAGTACAGTAATTTAACCCATTTAGTACGATGATATGATAGAAAGATTTAATCCCTTGGGTACTATAACTCAACCCTTTACTTGAGTATGTAGTCTTAACCCTTGAGTACGATTATCTTTTCCTCCAGTTTAATCCTCGTGTTCAAGGGGTTAAATACTAAGCTGAGCTAACTGCTGTTAGGTTGTGAAGGTGATTGGAAGGTTAGATTAGTTAATGACCGTAGTTATGTTAGGTTAGGTTAATGACAGGTTACATGACTTAAATGCGTGAAACAGTTATTGACCTGGCGTTACTGTCACTGAAGGTTGGCTGTTGACCTGGTGACTGCTGTGGGAGCTTATTGACTGTATGACTGTTATCGCTCTTTAGTGATGTGAAACTGGTGGAAGGAGTACGCTTGGTTGACTGGTGGCCGACAGATGGAACGAAAGTAAAAGTTGACCACCATTGTGTGTGTGTATGTATGTATGAATGTATGTGTATGTATGTATGTATGTATGTATGTATGTATGTATGTATGTATGTACTCTAGTTGATTACCTCACCTCTAAAATATAATCATTCACGTGTACACATTTATCTTGTCCTTGTATACAGTACCAAGTTGCTAAGAGATACACAATAATTTATTACTATTACAGTTTAATCTGTCTTCGTCGTCCACCATACACGCTTTCTGTCGTCACGCGCGGAGATAATGGAACACTACGATCATCTCCATACTTCATCTAGTGTGACTTTAGCGCTTGTAGGGTGATCATTGATAGGTATTTGTTTTGCAGTTTTTTTACCTATTCTTTCTCTGTGGTTAGGTTATGTTAGGTTAGGCTTTGGTTAGGCGTAGGGAAGGTTAGTTAGGAAGTTAGGTTAGGCTTGGCTTAGGTTAGGGTTAACTGAGGCTGTATCACGTGTCGTTTTAGTCCTTCCAGGTAAGTTTATTATGGTTTTGCTGTTAGAAGTATTGAGGAATAACAGTATATGATAGAGACCACGCACAGAAGTCATATTTCATCCATGGTGTAGTTATATAGTGTCGTGTGATGTAGTGCTGCAGTGCTTATCATAGTCAACGTGCTGTGTCAAGTAGGTGTGGCGGGTTAACGTGTTGATATAGTGTTGGTATATTAGGTTACCCCCACCTAGCCTGCACCCAGGTAATAAGGTGAAACATGCAGGTATAACACACACACACACACACACACACACACACACACACACACACACACACACACACACACCCCATTACCTACAAATCTCTCTAATAATGGGGATAAATAGTCCAGATATACCAAGCTTACGAG